ATAAAGTGGTCACTGCAAAATGTTGTGGATCACTATATGCTGTCACTTTCACTTTGACGCTTATTCCTTGACAAATCAACGTCGTGCAAATCCAAAAGTATTATACCTCGGCTCTTTAATGCTCATGCCCCAACAACAACACTATACATGTCATATACTTCTGTCTTTATCCACCAACCCCAGCTAAGCCTTGTTAATTCGAATCAGCCATTGTTGTTTTACAGTATTTGGCGACTTCGGGACTGCCACCGAGGACTAAGAACATTTTTACACCTAGTCCAGCGCCAAATTACTTCATTGGGGACTATGGACGGCAAACATAGCTAGGTCGGTTGCGGGTTCCATTAAATCTGACTAAGGGCCTGTTTACATGGAGTGGGGGACCCCGGTCTAGTGGGGTAAGTTTCTTTTGTTTTGTGTCCCCCAGAGCGTGAAACCAAAAGAAACTTACCCCACTAGACCGGGGTCCCCCACTCCATGTAAACAGGGTCTAAGACACCGAAAAAGGGTCAAAGTTAAACTTGATTGCTTTAAATTACTAGCACCTTAATTTCTTCTTTCGTGGCCCAAAAAGTACTTAATTTTTTTAAAAAAACTTTTAAATTAATACTGACAATGTAATAACAAGGAGAACTGGTCAATAATTACAGGGTTCGAACAGGTTTTTGGATTTAAACTTGAACACTTTTTGCTATTTTTCTTAAGTTCAACTAGGGAAAAATCAATGTCGGGCGAATACAAGTAATCGACGTTCTTTAATGCTCAGGGACCCAGACAACAACACTATAACATGTAATCAGTAATTCGTTCCTTAATCCACAAATCCCAACAAAGCTGTTGAATACGAAGCAACCATTACAATTTTATTAAAATTTTTGGCAACTAACGGACTGCTCACCGCTGTAGCAGTACACTTTCACGTACCTAGTCCATTTCAAAATTTGCAACGCTTGGAATGTGGCCAACTTCCATTTTGTGAAAAAAAAAAAAATTAATTCCCTGCTCAACGTAAAACGTAGCTGCTTAATGTTAATTTGAAAATTGTAAAATCGGCGCAGTTCAAAAGAGTTTTAACCAACGTTGCTGCCTTCTTAGGGGTACAAGACTAAATGAGACTATTTTTGTACCCTGAAAAAGACTCCTTTGAACAGCGTCGATTATCAACTTTCATTTTGGCTGAGCGCGACCTCGGCTTTAGTTTTGCAATATTCAAGATGGCGGATCAATGTGCAGCCACCGGCTACCGAAGGTGAACTAAATTTCCATAAAAGATGCACTGAAGCGAGAGAAATCAAAATTTCAGCGGGGAATTTGGAACGCACATACCCTAAAGGATTTAGGCAAGACATTCCACGAACTGAATAAGCTGGCTGAGTCAGTTGTGAAAGGGAATTTTGGCGCGCTTCGCGAGCGCACCATATTACTACAGGATCGGCGAGATTATGTCCTATGCTTTAACGAAGCATGGATCGCGCAAAGACCGCAATTATTCACCGTCTTAGTTCAAGAATGAGCATAGTGCATCCGTGGATGATTTGCTTTGACCTTCCCATGCCTCATGAGGTCTTTGATCTCTTGAACAAGGAGATTCTTGGTCTGACAAGATTTGGGATAGATACACCAGGTTCAGTGACTATAACATTTTCAAACCTGAGAAGATTATCGTATCTCTACGACCAGTTCCAAGATTGTGATGGGTTTAGAAAGCAACTTGGTAAAGGAAAAAGGGAGGCAAAGCTTATTGTGAACTCCGAGAAGAAGGAAATAATGGTCTACAATGTTAAAGAGCAGGTTTTGAGAGCAAAATTTTTTTTATGGATACTGGAATTCGTATGGGATTAGTCAGGATTAGTCAACAATGAATAGAGGATGCAAGTTTGAATCATACAGCAACAAGTTTTGTATTCTGAAGGATTTTAGAAGCGAACAATGAGGAACAAATATCTGGCAACTGTGTATTTCACCTTCTTACATCATCTTACATCATGTGACCAATACTACCCAAAATACCACAACAAGTATTTCTCTAATACCTTATTGACAAAAACCTGTCAACCTTTGTGCTTGGATGATAACAAAAAAGACAGAATGCCTACCATGGATCATTGCAATTATTCCTTATTTCTCACAATTTTTTTGAAAAACCCCAGAAATTGCAGAAATCCCAGTTTTTGCTGGGCACCCTTCTACCTCCTGTAACATTTGACTTAATTAATTTTAGCAAAAACTGTGATTTCTCCAGTTTTTCGCAATTTTTGGAGAAATTGCAGTTTTTGCTGGACACCCTTATACCTCCTGTACCACTTGACTTAATAATTATAAATTTTAGCAAAAACTGCGATTTCTCCAATTTTTCACAATTTTTGGAGGAATCGCAGAAACTGCAGAAATCGCAGTTTTTGCTGGACACCCTTGTACCTCCTGTAACACTTGACTTAATTCATCGTAAGCTAGAGGCCCGATTTTATTACTCACACCAGGAGACCCCTTTTCCATGGTAACGAACGAGCTTTGTGGTCAGGTGTTGAGTGGTCAGGTGCTCAATGCAGTAATTAGTTTTCACGCATTCCTTTGCACACGTGAAGTGTGTACATTAATCCAGATCTGTCAATTCCTTGTTGATGCTTCAGACTTATTTAGTTAATTTGTTGCAGAGATAAATAATTGGATCAGGCTTTTTTTGGTAAAAACTTGAATTGGCGCCAGATATGAATTCGTATAAGCTTACTCTCAGGAAGATCGAGTCACTTGCGGAGGCAAGCTTTCACGATGCCCTTCTTGCGGTGATCCTCTTAACTACCATGTTATTTCGCGTTTTCTCTCGATCTAACGATCGAGAAAAGACATGGTATGTGTTGAATGATTGTTTGTGTGGTAAGCAGCCGAGAAAATTCAGCAAGGGTTCTTTCTTTCAGCTATTTCCCAATGAATTTCTTCGTGCTAATTTTGCTGATCTGCACAATGAAAATGGCTGCTCTGTCTCAAGCCACTGGTTCATTAAGCTAAATGGGCAATAATCTTCTGTTCAAAATTAAGGTTACATTGGAAGTACATTTGCAATAGTTGCCTGTAATTAAGTCCTTAGGAACCCGTCAGAATCTGAATTTCTTCGATCAGAAGCCTTCTTGTCGCTGAAGCGGACCATCAATGAGCATATTTTGAAAGAATCGGAAATCGATCACAGGCCCTTTCAGGATTTATGCTGCGTGTCAGACAGAGATTTTAAAAGTGATGAAGGAGAAATTCCCCAAGAATCGAAAGGGGAGAAATTATCTTTACAAAGCAGCTTTCCAGGAAGCCTGCCAAACTGCTCCACTCCACGAAGACAAAGCCCGCAAAAATTTGAAATCCCTGTTGACCATGTTGACACGTCTTCTTCAACTTCCTGTGATGACTCCTGACAATCTGTCGGTTGTGTATCGTCAATTTCTTCATTAGTAAATGAAAAGTTTGGCTCTGCGTATAAGAAGAGAATGATCAGACAAAAAGTGGAAGCTGTAATGGGAAGCGTCGAATCTGTATGTTTAGAGAAGGGAGAAACCTTTTGTTGCACAAAGCTGCCTGTTTCAGCGTAAGAAAACGTTCAATGGGATCAATGGGCGGGAGCTCATTTGGCATGTGTTTAGTGAAGTAGCGAATGAGCTGGGAGTTTGAAAGGCATTCTGCGAGCTCGTACCTGAGGAGCTGTGGAACCAGCGTGCACAAATGATGTCTGTGCCAGATTGGATGTTGCTTCTTTGTAAGCTGGAGTCAACAATATCTGACGATTCCTGGCAGATGATCTTAAATCGGACTCGACTTGGAAAAAGCAGGGTGAGTTAACCACCAACTATTATTTGTGTTGTTGCTGTTGCTGTTGTTTTCTTTAAGCTTACTAGAACTATCAAGTTAGTAATCCCCCTAACCATAAATGAATTTCGGTCTATTCCATTCAAATATCCACTCCCAGCCCCCCCCCACTATGGACAAGATTTTCTGTTGGGGAGAGGGGCTTTCAAAGTGATTTCTGAGGAGATTGACTGTGACGGCAACTTTGATCTTTGGAATATTTCTGAGGGGTGTAAGAAAAATTGGCTATTGCTTTGGGGGCAGGCAGGGGTACTGTGTCAGTACCTTTGATCTTTTTTTTCTTTTCTTTTAGAACTCATCAGACACTCCGATCTTGCTTTCCAAAAGCAGCATAAAGTCACTTCGGTCTGTGGTGTTTCAGAAAGTTCGAAGCCTCTTTGACATCACCCAAATACAAGATTTTCCTGGTTATGAAGTTTCTCTTGAAAGTGCCTTAACATGGATTATCAGGGAGTTGAGATTTCATGGTGTGCAGAAAGAAATAATTGACCTAAGCCTCAAACTTGATGGTAGGTCATTTGCAGGTGAGAACACAATCTTTAGTAAATACAGTGTACCTTATTTCCAGATTCCTTTATTGTATTTTGCAACAACTCTGTTGCACTTAAGAAAGAAAAACATAGAAACAAAATCATGGGTTAAAAATTATGACACCAAGGGACATACAATAGTGTCCAAATTATTTCTTAACCGTAACTGAAACAAGTTCATCCTAACGAAACCCTGTGATCTTTTATCATGGGTATAGTCTTGGACTGAAATAACCTTTTTTGTCAGTATTTTTAAACATTTACCGTTCCTTAACCATAATTTTCACGTGAAAGATATTCAGTCAGAGACAGTGCAGAGATAAAATAATGTAAAGCAGGGTATATAATATATGGGAGTTTAAAACTTGTTGTCCATATTATTGTTGTCTGTATTAGGGAGTAACTTTTAGAGAAAATGGTTGAGCTTTTTGTTGTGACAAATCCGTTAAATACAGGTGTCTGTATTAAGTTTGAGAGGGAGCGGGGGGGGGGGGGGTGACATCAAAATGGCAGGATAAACGTAACCAAACACTTGGAACTCTAGGTCATGAAGTGGTGCTTAAATTTTTGAAATGCCTTTTTTTTGGTTTCCTCTCATTTGTAGGGTGCAGTCAGGTCCTAATGGGTGTAGTCTTCAAAGACACACCATTCCTGTCTAATCAGAGCTGCAAATCAGTGTGCCCTTTAGCTATTGCTAATTGTAAGGAAGACAGGTATGTTGTATTTAAATTTGATTCATTAGTAAAATAGTTATTTGTTTCCAAAGTAACTAGTTTTGTTAGCGAAAATTTTTATTGTACCTTTTTGACCGTGTAATTTTTGGTTGTCGACCAAAGTTATACATGCAAGCTGAAAAAATTTGTGGATTTACAACAAATTTATTATATGAGGCCTAAAGGCCCCAAAATAAACGATCATTTTTGAAAATTTTACCACAAAGGTCCTTATTTATTAGTGGGCCACTCAAACCCGACCTTATGTTTTCTTTTTATAGGGAAAACCTAAAAAAGCTGATTGTTAATGTCAACAAACAAAAGGATGCGCTAAAGAAGAATGGAATCACAGTGGATGGAGTGCATTATGCTGTGAGATTTAAAGGTAAGTTTCACATAATAATTAATAACGTATTTTTTAGTACCATAATTTTCAATCCAAATGCCTGCATGTACATTGACGTCTTTTTAAAAATAATTATATATCTACAGCTGTACAGTTGTACTTGACCTGCAGGCCCTCTATCTTTTGCTGGAACAAACAGGGAAAGCAATCTTTCAGCTTGGGAAATGAGGAACTGAAGTAGAGTGTTGCTTTATCTGCAAAGCATTGAGGGTATGTGGATATATTCAAAATCTCTGAGTCAAAAAATTCTACTATGCAGGTTTTGACCTTATCAATGACCAACTTACCAATATAGTACTATTAGATTTTCAGTTTCGCTGGGTAAAATTTCTTAGTAAAAACTAGCGATGAATAGTGGCTATTTTTATTGTTGCTTTATTAGGAATGTAAAATTTTTTGCGATCTTGGTCCGCATACAGTTTGTTTGGAACACTTTCGCATGTCCAAGGCCAATATTGGAGGGTAATTTAGTTATAGTTTTGGTTTACTAAGAATTCTCTGATGATACTTGTTGAGGCATGCAGCCTTGATTATTCATGAATTTCAGCATTTGTAGTTGTCGTTTTGAAGTCATAGTAACTTCTAATTATAAAAGGCATTCAAAACAAGGTTATCTCAATACAGTTAACCTCTATTCAAAAATTAAATTCCCTGGTATAGTGAGTGAATCTCTTCATCCCAGCGTTTATAGCTTAATAAGTATGTTTTCTACAAAAGACTAACTTTTATATAGACCTCATTTTAGCAATAATATTTTGTAAATTAAGCCTTGCCTTTTGTAAAGGGGAAGTTCCACTGCATGGAAAAGAAAACAAAAAGCTTTTTTTTTTTGGACAAACATGGTGTTTAATTCCCCTGTCTATAAAATGTTGGCAATTATCCGTGTCTTGTTTTCCTAGAGAACACATATTATTTTCCCATAATAATATATCACAGTCTTCCTTTACTGTAGGTGTGTCAATGTTGTAGGGGCACTGTCATAAAAGACTGAAAACCTGTCGAGTAAAATACTTGAGTTTGAAATATATAAAACTGTTAAGAGCCACTTCAGGGGAGATATCCCCCACAACTAACAGAATAATGAATGTTCTTTTTTCTAGTTTCAAAGGCATCCTTGATGACTTAGAGTTCCTTCTTGAAGAGGATTTATTGTCTATTAATCTCTGCGCCCTTCAGTGCGAACTTAGAAATACTGAACAGCTGTTGTCATCATTGGGTTTGTTTTCGTACGAAGTGGGTTCACGTGATGAATGTAATGCCTAATTGGCAGATTATGGCCCTGAGAATTTTGGCAACAAAATAATGGTGAAGATGAAGGAGGGCCAAGAAATTGCTGTTGAAAAGCACAACATCCAGGTGTGTTCATTTTAAGGTACCTTCTGTCTTGTTTCATTTTTATCATGATTGCTTTCATTCGTTTTATCCTCTTCAGGGCTTTTACTTCCGTGCTGTACATGTAGCAGCGGCATGAGTTTCATTTGTACAATACCTTGATCCTTAATATGTAAACTGTAACACTGGTTTGTAATGAAGATGTCACTAAGTTGTGAATTTAAATCCTGTTTGTTTCTTTCTGTACTATTTTTCCTGAAGGTTCTACTGAATGTGAGTTCCTCACAAACATTGAAGCAATTGTCAGGAACTCCTTGCCTCATGACAAATTATTGAAGTCATATTTTGCTGATCCAGAAAGTGTTAAAGACTTGCTCCTGAATAAAGTCACATTTTGTAATGATAGAATCAAGGTATATGGCTCAGGATACCACATGATTTGAATGTTTCACTTAAACCAGTGCAACACACAATAATTTTTTGTGTGTAGTATGTAGAAACCTGCACTGAAAAAATGGTTTCTGTTTAAGATATTCAATGAATTTTTAATAATTTGTTTTAGTACTATCAGGACATGGCTATTTAAGACATTCACCACAGACTTTGGTTCAAAGCAGGAGACTATTACCCTCACAGGTTCAGGTACATGTTAAAGTCATTATACCGTTATTTAAAACCTCTCCTTCCCTTTGACTGTGATAAACCAGACAGTTTGAATTAATGACTGCATTTACGTCCATCTACACTGGAAGTTGTGATAGGCTAGCTAGCACTGTTAGTATTAATACAACCCCATGACGTGACCATTGTGTATCAAGGGTACATCATTATTGCATCAGATTACTGCATCCCAACTGAGTGAATGTTCCTTAGTATGTAAAGCACACCCAGTGGTTTGTGTTCTTGCATAACAATCCTCCCTTAAAAAGAATAACCCCTTACACTTAGTGATGTGACTACCTAACCTGTTTTCCTTAGAAGCTGGAAAAGAAGTTCAAAGAAGACTGGAATTCTGGCAGGGAAGACTACATAAATCGAGGAAAGATTTGTGGAGCTGTCAGAAAAATGTGTTGGTGGGTCGGTCGCTAAAGGGAAACGAGGAAAGAAAAGGCAGAAGGTGGACAATGCTGATCTTTCTCAGCTATCTGATTATGCAGCAGAAGTGTTCTACCAATTTTTTTTAAAGGTAATCAAATAATCAAGTCTTTTTTTACTTAATTGGTAGACACATTGAACAGTTTTATGAGAAGTAAGATATGGGGCAAAATCCAGACACGTTAAGTTAAAACTAGTCAAGTTGATTTTGCTTTTTTGAACAAAATTCTTAACTTTAATTTAACAAGTGGCAGTTACAAAACACAGGTCACAAGGGAAGGTCTGACTACATGCTCTTATAAAAAAACTGAGATAGGCATGCAGTTTCCCTTAACTTAAAAACACCTCATTTCAGATTGTGATTTGGGCTTTTCGTTATTATTCATTTTGATTTCAGGTTTACACCGACAGAAAAGACATTTCTGAAGTTATTAGAAATACTGTCTTCGAGGAAGATTAGCAAGATTTAATTGACATTGTTGACATTAACAGGTATGTGTCAGGTATTTCACTTTTAGTAAGAGTGTAAAGGGGCAATTCCACAGTTACGGACATTACACTCAGAGAGCATTTTTTAACTTTGATCTCCTGTCCTGTTCACAATATGCAGTATAATTTGTTTCCTTGAAATGTTTCATGAATCACAGGAACTGAGCCTTAAAAGTCGTGATTAAAATTGACGGTTGTTTTAGCTGTAATGTCTGTAACAGGCCTTTCAGTCAAAATCAGAGGGAGCTAAAAATTTGTTCTCTGAGTATTTTTTTATTGTGCAAAAACAGCAATTTAATGCAAATTTTTTATTGGCAAATGCTCAAAGTTTTCTTCAGTCACATTAAATTTCTCTGAGGTCTATCTTAACTGCTTTGGTTCCCTAAAAGGCTGTGTTATGCACATTACACCAAGTGTTACGGACATTACTGTCTGTGAATTTTTTCTTTAAAATAATATTATGTGTACTATGATGCTAAAAAAATTGCTTATTTCATTTATTTTTATGTGTTAAGTTTACCATCAGCAATGTCTAGAAGCCCTGAAAATTAAATGAAAACAAAAGCACACAAAAGCTGTTTTGTAATTATAGCTGGTCAGCGCATATTCCTTTTCAGAGCATGCTCTGAACATTCTTTGAAAGAAAACCACTGACCAGTTGTTTTAATCAAATTATGACATCTCATTGTACTCTGAAAGTTACATAAACAAGATGGTTGTCTTTTCTAAAAAAAAAATGTCAAAACAGGGGCTGAAAGGGCCAGAACTTTTAGAACAAGACTCAAAGTAGATGTTGAGAGGTATAAGGCCTATAAGAACAAAGACAAAGAAAGGAAAAGAGTGCAAAGAAAAGGTCAAGCCCTTAGTCCAAGTGAAGTTGCAAGAAGGAAGAAACTCACCCGTGAAAGAGTCAGAAAATGTAGGCAAGGACAAAAAGAGAAGAAAGCAAAAAACTCTTCCCAAGACCAAGATGTATCACAAGCTTACCAAACACCTCAAGCTCTAGGAAAGGCTCTTGGTAAGGTCAGCAGCAGAGTGCTTCCCCAAAGCCCCAGAAAACGAAAGGCTGTGGTTTTCAAACTAGCACATGCTTCAGGTTTTCTTAGGAAAAAGAAGTGCACTAGAGGTAACAGGGGTCTTTCAAAAGAGACGGTAAATCTTGTTAAAGTTTTCTTTCAGCTTGACTCCATCTCTCGCCAAGCACTAGGCAGAAAAGACTTTGTCACTGTTCAGGAAAACAACACAAAACATCATATCCAGAAAAGGCACTTGTTGTGGTCCCTAAGGGAATGTTATAGCATATTCATGAAAGAAAACCCCACCACTGAGATTGGCCTTAATAAGTTTTGCTCCTTAAGGCCAGTGAATGTCTTACTTTCTGCTGACATGCCTAGAGATGTTTGTCAAAATGCTTTGTGAGAGCCTGCATAAGGAAATAGATGATTTTCCACTGTACTCAGGAAGTTTTGCAGAAAATTTTGTTTGCAACCCTGAGTCAGAACTTTGCATGCTTGGCAAATGTAAAAAGTGTGCAAAATGCCCCAGCTTGTTGCAAAAAATAAGGTCAAGTTCAGGAAACCTTGATGAGCATGCAACATGGTATCAGTGGGAGGCAAAGAAAGGAAAAAGCATGAAAAGGGTAACAAAAATTCAGAAAGTTCTGAAAGAGGGTACTGTTGATGATTTACTGGAAGATCTAGAAGTTCAGCTGCCATCATTCTTAGAACATGTGTTTGTAAAGCGACAACAGGCAAGAATTTTCAAAGAGAAGATAGAACATCTGACAGAGGAAGAGGCAGTGGTGCAAGTTGATTTTGCTGAAAATTTCAGCTGCAAGTACCAGGGAGAAGTTCAGTCAGCACACTGGAGCCAAGACCTAGTTACCAAGTTCACTGTTGCAATCTGGATAAAGTCTGGAGACAAAAACAGCTGTTGTGAATCTCACGTCATTGTTTCAGATGATTTGAAGCATGACAAAACATCTGTTGCCGTGTTCATGTGCAAAGTTGTCAACGACCTTGTGAAGGTGAGACACCCAGACATAACTTGAGTTTGGATATTTTCAGATGGACCAAGCACGTAGTTCAAGAAAAGGTACAGTGCCCATTTTCTCCATTTACTTCAAGGTCAAGGTCTTAACATCCAGTGGAACTACTTTGCCACATCACATGGGAAAGGGGCTGTTTATGGTATCGGGGGAACTGTGAAGCGCATGGTTTGGAATGCTGTATCCACAAGAAAGGTGGAAGCAG